CACTTTGTTTTGTGCAAAATATTATTAATAAAAAATTGTATAAAATTATCTTCAAAGTATATATGAAACATAAATGAATGTTGTGTTTAGACTTGGGTACTTACTTACTTAGGTGTTCCCTTGTTGTCTGAGTAAGACTGTACTCCAAGTGTGATGTCCTGGAGGTGGGTATGTAGGTAATTGTGGACCCCTATTCTTAATCTGCGAGTTCTCCCGCAGTAAGGGCATCGGTTTCCAGGTGGAAGGCAGTCCCGGTCGGAGTTGGCTTGACGTGCCTTCCTCTTGGCATGTTTCTCTCTTTCACCCTCCATTGGTGCCTCTTCAAATTCTACACCACTACTGGTCACAGCTGACTTCCAGCTAGAGTTCTCAAGGGCCAGGGCTTCCTGGTTCTCAGTGTCTACTCCACAGTTTTTAAGGTTGGCTTTGAGCCCATCTTTAAAAAAATTGCTGTCCTCCAACATTTCATTTTCCGTTCTTGAGTTCAGAGTAGAGTAACTGCTTTGGGACTTGGGTACCATCTATATCGCTAGCAGAATGTCAGAAATATTAACCCATGATGCCTATGGATCTTTCACACACACACACACACACACACACACACACACACACATATACATATACACACACATATATACAAATTAATGCAAAAAAAAACAACAACCTGCCACTCTCTTACAAATCATGATTTTGCAAGAAGCCAACACTAATGGAAATCGTCATTGTTGCCACTTGGCAAATCAACATGACAAATCATGAAACAGGAGCAACAAAAACAGGCCAGGACTTCACAACAGGAAAAAGTCATTAACTATTGACCAATCAAGGGGAAGGGATGTGAATAAACATAGAAATTGGCCAATGAATTCAGAGGAAGTAGAGCACTCAGGTCGCAAGGGGCCAATAGGAACACTGTAGATGTGTTCAAAAACAGTTCCGGCTCTGCAAAGAACAGGAGAGAGCCATTGAGGTTATTATTATAATAATTTGTTTTTCCGAATGGATGCTCTGCCTCCTGGAACTGAGATGTTTGTGACGCAGGAAGTTGAGAATAATTGCCTGGAGCTGGACTTTCAAAGATTGCTTCACAAACAAGAGGAAATGCAAGCATACCAGGCACTTTTGTGCCTTAATCTTAGGTCTATAGATGCATCTACATGGCAGAATTAATACAGTTTGATACCATTTTAGCTGCCATAGATCAATGCTATAGAATAATGGGAGTTGTAGTTTGGTGATGCACCAGGCCTCTTTGACAGAGAAGGCTAAAGAAGGCCTTGTAAAACTATAACTCCCTTCATTCAATGGCAGAGCCATGGCAGAGTCAGGAGTCAAACTGCATTCATGCTACAATGTAGATGCACTCTGTGTCTTGTTTTTTTTATCTATGTGTTTAACTACACTGTAGAAATAATGCAGATTGACACTACTTTAATTGGCATGGCTCAGTACTATGCAGTCATGAGAGCTGTAGTTTTTACAAGATCTTTTCTCTGCCAAAGAGTGCTGGTGCCTCGCCAGACTACAACTCCCAATATTCAGTAGCATTGAGCCATGGTAGTTGAAGTGGTGTCAAACTGCATTAATTTCTAGATGGACCTCATATGATCTGGAATGAAGGTAAACATGTTCATTATGGTGAGAGCAAAAAGCAAAATCTTTGCAGCTGGAACGTGACAAACGCTGTCCTCAGTTGTTGTCTTCTTTTTTTTTTCTGAGGTGCATCTGAAAAACAAGTCTGCCTCCAAAAGCAAAACAAAACCACGTGTCTCTCTCCAGTGACTGGGGAGGGAATTAAAGGTTGTTGTGCTGACAGCAGAGGCAGCAATATATATGCTACATGAGTGTGTGTGTGTTGTCCAGATCAGGCATGGGCAAATTTGGGCCCTCCAGGTGTTTTGGACTTCAACTTAAGCGGCTAAGGGGGAAAGGAAGGGGCCTGAGGCTGTTAGGAATTGTGGAAGTTGAAGTCCAAAACACCCGGAGGGCCCAAATTTGCCCATGCCTGCTCCAGATGTATAGATGTGTACATATTTGGAGGGAGATGCAGCCCCAGACAGGCAAAAACAAAATACAATGTGTGCAATGTATACTCACACAATTGCTCTAGGGGTACATCTACACTGCAGAACTAATGCAGTTTGGTCCCCCTTTCACTGCCATTGCTCAATGTTATGGAATCCTGGGAGTTGTAGTTTGGTGAGGCAAACTACTTATTTGACAGAAGACTAATGACCCTGTAAAACTATAAATCCCAGTATTCTATAGCAATGAGCGAGGCAAGTGATGTCAAACTGCATTAATTTAACAGTGTAGAACAGACATGGACAAACGTGCCCAGGTGTTTTGGACTCTCAACTCCCACAATTCCTAACAGCCTAGTCGCTGTTGAGAATGGTGGGGATTGAAGTCCAAAACAACTGGAGGGCCCAAGTTTGCTCATGCCTGGTGTAAAAGATGAACCACTGGATACAGTAATCCATGCTCAAGTATATAGACAGACACAGACAGACAGACACACACACACACACACATATATATATATATCCTAGGACATATATATCCTGGGACTTAAATTCACCATGTATTCATATTCATTCAAGCCCGCAGCATATCTACCTATCTCTCCAAGATGGACAAACATACATAATCAAGTATATAGATTCATATAGATATTCAAGTCCCCAACATAGCCATTAATCTCCCCAATGGACAAACACACATTCATGCATAATCATGTATAAATATACAGTATTAATATGATTATATATTATGCTATGTAATATATATAATATCTGATATATTATATTATTATATATGTTATATAATAATGTGATTATATATTATACTACATAATATATATTATATAATATGTATGCTATAGTAATATTATATATATATATATATATATATATATATATTCATGAGTGTGTGTATATATACACACATATACATATTTACACACACATACATATATCTGTGACTTGAATATTAGATTCCAGTCCCGGTTCCTTAAAAGACAGAACCACATGTGTACAATTAATATGTTAATATTAATATAAATTCATGTGTGTGTATATACACACATACATGCACACTCATACATATGTATGTCTGGGACTTGAATATTATATTCTAGTCCTGGTTCCTTAAAAGACACAAGCACATATGTATATAATTAATATATAATTAACATATTGAGTCGCCGATAAGGCTGAGAAAGGCGGTATACAAGTATGGAATATATATATATATATGTGTGTGTGTGTGTGTGGTCTAAAAGGACCTACTTAAGGGGGGAATTGATGAGGAGATATTGGGAAAATATAGATATTTATTGATTGATTTATGCATAAAAATCATATGTACTTTAAATGTATAGGAAAATCTAGTTCCCTCTGTGTAGCAAGAATGCTAACAGCAAGCAAGCTGCTTGTCTCCAAAAGGGGCTGAAGAGGAAGGGGGGTATGCATTCCAGAAGAGAGATAAGCCTGTTGGAGAAACCCGTGCTAGGACGGAGAAGCACCTTTTGACAGGTCAGAGGAGGCCCCTTTGATGGATGACTCGTAGGCACAGCCAAGAGGGAGGAGGGATACTCCATGCTTGCTCTGGTTTCAGCAAGACACAGAGACATGCTTTTTGCATGTTGGAGGGGGAACCTGATATTCTTATGATGCCAGGATGACGTAGGGATGATGATGATTGTATGAAGATGTATGTTCTTTGTTTCATTCCGATTGGAGACTATAAAAGGCCAGTCCGCACCTTGATGGGGACTCTGGGTTTTGCTTTTGGGACATGAGTCCACCAGAGTCGCCAGCTGGAAATAAAGTCGTTCTTTTCTGATCTCTAGAAAGGATGTCTCTTGGTAATTATCTCTCCTTTCCTCAAAACCTATTTCCCTGCCATTTCATTTATATATATATATATAGATATATAGATATTGATACAAATGTGTGTGTGTGTGTATACACATACATACATGCACACTCATACATATATATGTCTGGGACTTGAATATTATATTCTAGTCCCAGTTCCTTAAAAGACACAAGCACATATGTATATAATTAATATATAATTAACATATTGAGTCGCTGATAAGGCTGAGAAAGGCAGTATACAAGTATGGAATATATATATATATATGTTTGTGTGTGTGTGTGTGTATACACATATATACACGCACTCATACATATGTATGTCTGGTACATGAATATTATATTCTAGTCCCGATTCCTTAAAAGACACAAGCATATATGTATATAATTAATATATAATTAACATATTGAGTTGCCGATAAGGCTGAGAAAGGCGGCATACAAGTATAGAATATATATGTGTGTGTGTGTATATATATATATATTGATACAAATGTGTGTGTGTGTGTGTGTGTGTGTGTATACATTCACACTCATACATATGTATGTCTGGGACTTGAATATTATATTCTAGTCCCAGTTCCTTAAAAGACACAAGCACATATGTGTACAATTAATATATTAATATAAATTCGTGCGTGTGTATACACACATACATCATGCACACTCATACATATACCTAGGATTTGAATATTAATATAAATTCGTGCGTGTGTTTACACACATACATGCACACCCATATGCATACCTGGGACTTGAATATTATACTCTAGTCTTCCTTAAAAGACACAAGCACATATGTGTGTGTGTGTGTAAATATTACGTATTTGCTGTCTCTCGAGATAGTCAAGTCGTGGATAACTGAATCTGTAGATACAGAGGGCGGACTACAATTATGGAGGGTTCACACTGTATGCCTGTGTATTTGCATGGATGAGCGGAGTGTTCACACTGTATACCTGTGTATATATGTGTGTGTGTGTGTTTTAAGGACTCAGGACGGGGAGCAGGTTGCCGGTGGGAGGAGCCCCGCGGCGGCTCCTTCAGAGATCGAAGAAGCACCAGAAGCAGCGGCAGCAGCAGCAGCAGAGGCAAGAGCAGTTAGCTTGGAAGCAAGAGGAGGAGGAGGAGGCGTCGGCAGCAGCGGCACGAGCTTTGCCTCCCTTTCGCTCTCTGCGCCCCTCCTGCCGCGCGCGCCGGGCGGGGAGGGAGGAAAAAAACATTGCGCAGGTTCTAAATTGGAACGTTGGAGGCGGCGTGATTGAGCGCGCGAGCGAGAGAGTGAGTGAGTGAGCGCGAGCGCTGTTGCAACATCAGCAGTAGCAGCAGCAGAAAAGGCCTGCTTGCTTGCTTGCTTGCTTGCAGCCCAACCCCGCGCCGAATCTGCGCCAAGCAATTCGTTCCCTTCTCGTCTCTTCTGGATGGAGCTTTCCGCCATCGGGGAGCAGGTGTTTGCCGTAGAGAGCATCCGGAAGAAGCGTATAAGGAAGGTGGGTTGCAATTTTTTTTGTACTCTCGCTATATAATCCGGATTAATTAAGGAAACCCAGTTGCGTGCTGCAAAACTAGGAAAGATCCCGATCCGTGGGGCGAGCAAGGGGGCGTGGCGGAGCGTAGAAACGGCCGGCCTGCAGGGGGCGCCAGGGAAGCCCCATTAACCATTGCCAGCCCTGGAAGACACGTGTATAGGGCTTCTTTACTTGCTGACACGTGTCTGGAGAGACTTCACTGGATGAGAGGAAGCATCACAAACTGGGGAATCAATGCAAGCATTTGGACACCCCCTAAGATTAAAACACTTGCAGTGTTTTCATTTTAGGAGGTGTCAAACTGTGTTAATTCTACAATGTGGATACATAGATAAAAACATAAAACCATTGGAACACATGCATTAAAAGACGTAGGGCGTTGGAAATCCACACTGTAGAATGAATGCAGTGTTGACATCATTAGATCAGGCCTGGGCCCACTTGGGCCTTCCCTCCAGGTGTTTTGGACTCCAACTCCCACAATTCCTAACAGCCTCAGGCCCCTTCCTTTTCCTCCTCAGCTGCTTAAGAATGTTAGAATGTTGAGGCTGGCCAATCAGAAACCATATGCAAATTAGTAGGTTGAGATAGCTCATGCATGGAGCAACTCGGGCCCTCCAGGTGTTTTGGACTCCAACTCCCACCATTGGAGTCCTCAGGCCCCTTCCTTAAGCGGCTGAGGGGGGGAAGGAAAGGGCCTGAGGCTGTTAGGAATGGTGGGAGTTGGAGTCCAAAACACCTGGAGGGCCCATGTTTGCTCATGCCTATTCAGGATGCAGCCACAAGTTGAGCATCTCTTATCTGAAACTCTTTGACACTAGTTTTGGGACTTTGGATTTTTTCCATATTTTGTAATATATATATTGTAAGTTTGCAATATATATGCATAGTAAGATATTTTGGATATTGGACCCATGTCTAAACATGACATTTATTTAAATTTTGTATAGTCTTTGTAACCTGAAGATAATAGTATCCGATATTTTTACCAATGTTGCAAATGAAACCAAGGTTGCATACATAGAAGCATCAGGGGTTACTATCTCAGGGTGCATTTACAAGGTAGAGTTAATGTGTTTTGACACTGTTTTCATTGCCATGGCTCAACGTTGTGGGACCCTGGGAGCTGTAGTGTGGCGAGGCTCCAGAGCAGTGGAATCATCAGGGGTACCTACCTCAGGGTGCATTTATATGGTAGCGTTAATGCATTTTGACACCATCTTCACTGCCATGGCTCAATGCTGTGGGATCCTGGGAGCTGTAGTTTGGCAAGGCACCAGAGCAGTGGTTCTCAACCTGTGGGTCCCCAGGTGTTTTAGCCTACAACTCCCAGAAATCCCAGCCAGTTTACCATCTGTTTGGATTTCAGGGAGTTGAAGGCCAAAACATCTAGGGACCCACATATTGATAACCACTGCACCAGAGAAAGGCAAAGAGAAAGTAGAACTGCAATTTCCATGTTTCCATAGCGTTGAGCCATAACAGTTAAAGTGATACCAAACTGCATTAATTCTGTAGTGTAGAATCAGTGGTTCCCAACCTTTGGTCTTCCAGGTGTTTGGGACTTCAACTCTCAGAAATCCCAGCCATCATTCCAGTTAAGAATTGTGGGAACTGAAGTCCAAAACACCTAAAAGACCAAAAGTTGGGAACAATTGGTGTAGATGCACCCTTAGCAACTGGTATTGGCAGTTTCAGATTTGGACTCTCGGGGCCCTTCCTCACAGCTCTATATCCCAGAAAATCAAGGCAGAAAATCCCACAGTATCTGCTTTGAACTGGTTTATCTTAGTCCAAACTCAGATAACGTGGGATTTTCTGCCTTGATATTCTGGGATATAGGGCTGTGTGGAAGGGCCCTCAGTATCCTCTACTATCACTTGGATTGCAGTATTGGAAGTATGGAAATAATAGCTGGGTAACTAGAGTTCAGGATATTTGACAGCCTCCAAGAAAAATCCAGTGGGTGGATTGGAATGAGGAGATGTCATAATGTCAAAAACTCCTGACCTTTAACTTGAACTGTTTACCTGTTTCCGGTGCCTCCGCTGGCATTTGGAGAAAAGAATATCATTTGGAAGCTTGGTAGGCCTGAAAGCATTGCTGAAACTTGAGATCCATGCTGGAAGAACTCCATGTTACTGTATATCTTGCATGTTAGGTCAAGTTGTTAGACAGGTAGTTTTAATCATCTAGTTGTCAGTATTTCAATTGTATCTGTTTATTGTCGAAGGCTTTCATGGCTGGAATCACTGCGTTGCTTAGGTTTTTTCGGACTATATGGCCATGTTCTAGAGGCATTCTCTCCTGTCATTTCGCCTGCATCTATGGCAAGCATTCTCAAAGGTAGTGAGGTGTTTTTTTAATTTATTAGAAATATTGATATGCTGCTTCAAGTTGCTTGTGAATTATGGTAACCCTAAGGCACAATCTCTGAGGATGCTTGCCATAGATGCAGGCGAAACGTCAGGAGAGAATGCCTCTAGAACATGGCCATATAGCCCGAAAAAACCTATAGCAACCCAATTGTATCTGTTTCTTAAAGCCTGGCTAACCTAGGTTGCCTCTGAGGAGATAGGGCAGAATACAAATAAAGATTATTATTATTATTATTATTATTATTATTATTACTACTACCAGGTATGGGCAAACTATGGCCCTCCAGGTGTTTTGGACTCCAACTCCCACAATTCGTAACAGCCTCAGGCCCTTTCCTTTTGCCCCTCAGCCTCTTAAGTGGCTGAGGGGGGAAAGGAAGAAGCCTGAGGCTGTTAGGAATGATGGGAGTTGCAGTCCAAAACACCTGGAAGGCCAAAGTTTGCCCATGCCTGATCTATACTGTAGATGAATGCAGTTTGATACTGCTTTAACTGCCATGGCTTAATGCTATGTAGTGATGGGTGTTGTATTTTTTCAAGATCTTTAGCCTTCTTTGCTGAAGAATGCTGATATTTCACCAAACTGCAACCTCTGTGATCCCATAGCAGTTGAAGCAGTGTCAAACTGCATTAATTCTACAGTGTAGATGCACCCAACCTTTCCTTAATATATGCACGTTTCAGCCTGCTCACTAGGAAATGCATATTTGTGATATCCTATTAAAGATGCAACCAGTTCCAGTTTTCAAGTCCAGCATTTCCTCTTTGAGTCATGACAGTCCTGCATATTATGTTTGTCAAGTCTCTACTGCAGAATAGCTGGTAGCCCTGCCAACTGGGTGGAGTTTATTCTTTGGGCCTTCCTTGCCCATCCATGTATGGTGAGAAAGAAAACTATTATTTTAAGGTGGGTCCATTGATCATGCAGCAGGGGCACATGACCTCCGGTATTTAAGATGATAGGTAGGAGATGGCCGCAGGCTGGCTTTCTGTACTGCAAGCCAGTGGAGGGGGGATGGATGAGGAGAGGAACTCAAGCCTCCCTAGGCAGCTATCTGCAAGACCTTTGATAGTTCTGCCCGATACCGTGAGATCCATCCCCATTGCCCAGCCACCAGCTCCATGCCCAGCATTTTAAAAAAAGATCACTGCACCTAGATAGAGAAACGCGATCAATCAGATTATATAGAATACTGGAAGTAGAGGTCATATGTGATACTTCACAGGCATTTGCAGGAGAAGGGAAGAGAACAGCAAGGTAAAGCAAATAGCAATCAAGCCAGACTACATGGCCGAAAGATTCTTTTTTGAATTTCAATTTTTCATATTTGTTTAATTCATTATTGACATAATTCTGGGATAGGATCTCTGCACATCCTCTGGAAATATCTGGAGAAGGTCATTCCATAGGTCTGCCAGACAGTTTTACATGCCAAGGAAGCGGATAAGTTCAAAACGTGCCTGATGTTTATTGGAGTATCAAGTTCCTTCATCTTTTTGTGCAGCTTGGTTCAGTCGCTCACTCTGTTTATCTTTCCTCCTCTTCTCCTCCAGGGCAAAGTGGAATATCTGGTGAAATGGAAAGGATGGCCCCCCAAGTAAGTTTTAGGTTATTTTCACAATATTTGTAGGCATGCATTTGTGTTCGTTGTCTTTCGTGTTGTGCTCCTCCTCTGCGTTGGCCCCAGTTTCTAAAGAAGTGCCACTCTTATGCTTTCCGGTTTGGATTCCGTTAACTAAATCCAGCTAACAACTTCTGATTTCTTAAATCTCTTTTTTTCCTACTTAATCACACTAGAGAATGAATCCACTTAAAATCCAGTTGCTGCCTACTGCAGAATTCTGGGGTTTGTAGTTTAGAGAGGAGACTTTAACAGCCTCACTAAACTACAAACCACAGAATTCTGCAAGAGGCAGAGACTGGATTTAAATTAGGTTCATTCTCTAGTGCAGCGCTTCTTAACCTGGGGGTCAGGACCACTGGGGGGGGGGGTCTCAAGAGGACATCAGGGGGGTCTCCAAAGACCATCAGAAAACACAATATCTTCTTTTGGTCATGGGGTTTCTGTGTGGGATGTTTGGCCCAGTTCTATCATTGGTGGTGTTCAGAATGCTCTTTGATTGTAGGTGAACTATAAATCCCAGCAACTACAACAACCAAATGACAAAACTAGTTGTCCCCACCCCACCAGTATTCAAATTTAGGTGTATCAGTTATTTGTGCCAAATTTGGTTCAGTGAATGAAAATACATCCTGCGTATCAGATATTTACATTACAATTCATAACAGTAGCAAAATTACAGTTGTGAAGTAGCAACGAGAATAATTTTATGGTTGGGGGTCACCACAACATGAGGAACTGTATTAAGGGGTTGCTGCATTAGGAAGGTTGAGAAACACTGGTCTGCTGTAATGAAGTCTACAAAATGTCATCCCTAAAGCGTTGTATAAAGTAGTTAATCCCTGAGTAGATGGAACCCAAAGATATTTAAACATGAGACTTTGAAAATACCGTAACAGTGTGGAAATTACCGTTACAGTTTTTGGACATACAAATAATTACACTGTGGATACTCCAGCAGAGCAACAGTTGAATGCTAAATGGGTCTGCAGGTGTTGGCCTCTTCTTGTGGTCATAACCAGTCCTTTCCCATGCAGTGGTCAGGGAGGTGGAGTGCAGCATAGAAAGAACTGCAGTAGCTGGTCAGAAACTGCAGTGGAAATGAGGTAGGGATCTTGTCTCTGTTAAACAGTGAGCTCAACAGTACTAGCTCCTGGCAGGCTCCTAACTGAATTTATGGGTGCCTAAAGATAAACCTTCAGTGTGGTATTGAAAGATACTTGGCTTCAGGGAGCTTCCTTTGCTCTTCTTTTTTTGGTGGGGCAGGATCAGCCATCCTCATTTATACGCAGGTATATTATATTCCTTAAACAGCTGCAAGATTGCTGGCTAGTGTTTGTAGCTCCCTAGATGTACTCTTCTTTGCAATGTGCATGAGCGTGAAGGATTAATATAGCAATGAAATCATTACAATGCATTTATTCGCCTGTGGAGCAAGAACATGTTCCTCTTAATCCATGCAAATGCACATTTTTTCTACCCACAGGGATTAAATTGTGAATATAGAGGGTACCCTATATTCACAATCAAACCCTAATATCTGCTGGGGTTTGATTCCAGTCCCACTTGTGGACATCAAAACCTAGGGGTGCTAAAGTTTAATTATATATAGTAATYCACTCAAACGTGTCCCTTACATAAAGCAGAAAAATCAAGGTTTGCTTTTTGCAACCTTTCAAGGTTTGCAACCTTTCGTGTTACCCCACCCCCCTTTTCTCCATCAGGTTTGAGATATATATATATATACACACACACACACACACACACACACATATACATGTGTGTGTGTGTGTGTGTGTGTACAGACACACACAACCCCCTCCCCTCATTTTTTTGCCCTATTTCCTCTTCCCTTTTGTCTTGTCCCTGATTTTTATGTATTTTTAAAAATCTATTAATAAAATTATTTTTTAAAAGGTTTGCTTTTTAGAAATGTGTGTGTGTGTGTGGGGGGGGGGGGTATTTTCAAGCCATGGATAGTTGAATCCATGGAAACATAGGCCCCTCCCACACAGCTGAATAAAATTCCACATTTTCTGCTTTGAACAGGAATATATGGACTCAGATAACTCAGTTTAAAGCTGATAATGTGGGATTTTCTGCCTTGATATTCTGGGTTATATGGCTGTGTGGAAGGGCCCACAATCTGTGGACATGGAGGACCAACTGCAGTATTGTCTTGTGTATTTAAATGCACAAAAGTAGAAGGGTCTAGTGCAACTTCATGCTGGATGCAGCAATTATAGACTGGATCAGAGCTTGGAAAAATTACTTGTTTGGACTTCTGCTTGCAGAAACTGCCAGCCAACTTGCACCGGGCTTTTTTGTTTTAGATTCATATGCATTACATTAATTACTATATTGTGATATAATAGAGTGTTTCCATGTGTAGAAGCCTCCCATGTGCCCAGGGTCCTGCTGAATGGGCCCCAAACTTCTGACCCCAAATCCTGTCCTACTGTTAGTACAATCCTATGTTTTACTAACATTTGTATTTGTATGTATACATTGAATTTCTAAGTGTTTAGATTAGTGGATATTGGTCTTTCTAGTACTGGAGCTACCCTATTAGTTCTAGGCCAGTGGTTCCCAACCTTTTGGACTTCAGCTCCCACAGTTCCTAACAGCTGGTAACCTGGTTGAGATTTCTGGGAGTTGAAGTCCAAAACACCTCGAGGCCTAAAGGTTGGGAACCACTGCACTAACTGTAGGAAAAATATAGTAGTGGTGAGAAACACCCTGCTTCTGTGGCCTTCATGGAGAAGGCTAGTGTTTCTTTAAAAAGAGCCTTTAGCATGAATTTTATTTTTTATTTATGGCCATGTTCCAGAAGCATTCTTTCCTGACATTTTGTTCACATCTGGACATTCCACAGATATATAAACCTCACTTGCCTAGTTTCCAACAGACCTTGCAACCTCTGATAATGCCGTCTACAGATGTGGGTGAAATGTCAGGAGAGAATGCTTCTGGAACATGGCTATACAGCCTGGAAAACTCAGAGCAACCTAGATAGGAAATGTTTCCTAAAAGGCAAAGGTAGCTTGTGTTGGACATGAGGGGGGAAACATCAAACTCTATCTTAGTGTAACACTTTTATTAGGGATTGAAATTTCAAGTGCCACTACAATTCCAGAAAAGCAATAAAGGAGAACATAGGAACAAGAAGCAGCAATACAGCATTCTCCTCTTAAATGTGGCATGACCAGAACACAATTTATTTGCAGCCACCCCCTGGGAAGTGTGTACTTGAACAAACAGAGTGTACAATCTCCCCCTTTCAAGGAGCATTATAAACATACCCATGAGCCAGTGTGGTATAGTGGTTTGAGTGCTGGCCTTTTGTAATAGAAACCCTTGAAAGTTCAGCCATGGAACCCACTAGGTGACCATGGACAAGTCACATGCTCTCAGCCCCAGAGAAAGGTAAGCCCTTCTGGAACAAATCTGTCAGGATAGCCTCATGTGCCACAAGTGAGAAACAGATTGAATGCATACAAGAACATAAACATAATCAGGGTGAAGCTGCTAGAAGACAGGTACAAAATTATATCCAGAGAAATCATCTGCCTAGAACAGTGGTTCCCAGCCTTTGGGCCTCCCGGTGTTTTGGACTTCAACTCCCAGAAATCCCTACAAGCTTACCAGCTGTTGGGAACTCTGTGGGAGCTGAAGTCCAAAACACCTGGAGGCCCAAAGGTTGGGAACCACTGTGTTACTGACTTTTGAACTTTTGTGTGTATAGCATTGTTCATCTCAGAATTCTTGCAGCCTGGACCATTGCTGTTCCGCTGTCATCAATCTTTGTTTCTGCTGATCATCTCAGTACATGCAGAGCTGGGTGTCCTGTCACCTTACTCAGTGATCCTTCCCAGCTTCCTCACTCCCACACTTTTCTCCACAGCGCCTTGAAGCCAAAAAGCAAGATCAATATCTGCTGGAAGCAATTTCCCCATCTCTCTGCTCTCTCTTCTTGCTCCCATGGCATCTATGTGCCATCTCCTCCCTCCACCTTCCCCCAAAAAACCATTTCTGCTTGCTTCTTCCACCCAAGGGAGCTGGGAGACAGGGTTATGGCTCTGAGTCAGCTGCAAGCTTGTTTACAACTTGGATCTGAAGTAAGAGAGGGAGGGAGGGAGGAGGAGGAAAGGGGCCACGTGATTTGTATTTTCCAGAATGCATGCTCTGCGGTTCTGCTGCAGTCTGGCCTCTGTGTTTGTGTGGCAGGCGGACGGCACTGTTTTTCTATATGCAGTGTTTTCTCACTGCAGTCAAGCAAAAAAGCTGAACTGCGGAGGAATGGGCAACACCCATAGGAAGACTGTTTTTTTAAAAAATGCTAACACATTCCTGATCCTCTCCTCCTTGAAGTCTGCCTTTTTAACTGTCAGCCACTTTCCCCCAGTAATCCTTTGCCTCCCTTTCATTCACTGCTTAAAACTGATGCTGAAATTCTTCCTCTGCCAGGAAGACCACAAACATAATGCACAAATGACGTATTTCAGTTTGGAGCCCATAGACTGGCAAGAAGGGATCGGTTGTGGAATAGGGGGGCTGAGGATAGCTTGTCAAAGGGAGGAAAAGGTTAGCTAATAATGAAAATGAAGCTGGAGGCTGCAGCTATTTATAACCTTGCCCTTCCCCTGAGAGCAGGATGTGAAAGACAACGTCTGAAGTAAATGTATTGGCTTATTTAACATCACGCTTCATCCCCTAAGCCCCAGGGCAGGTAAAAATATTTAATTCTTCTGTAGTTTGTCTTAAAGGCAGGCTTGTGAAGGAAAATGTTGATATTTTCCATTTCATTTAATTGCTGGCTCCACTGAAGACTGAGCAGTTTATTTGCTTTGGAATATTTAATATCCTGCCTTTCATGCTGGCAAGAAGCTATAGGGAGGGACACAAATTGGCCAAAGAAGTTGCTCAGTGAATCCGTCCCTGAGGTTTCCCTTATCCTGAGTCTACTGCCCTAGTAC